TGAAAGATCATGAAAACCTGAACATTTGCATCACTTTATAAAAAAAAAAGACGACGGCCAGGACAAGACGTGGAAAATGGACATGTCCGGGGAAAAACGGATGTTTGGTCACCCTACGCTACGCACAGCATCCTACATTCAGTTTGTCAATTAAAAATGAATGTAATCGACGAAATACTTAATGATCAATTATCAACTAATCGACTAATCATACCCATCCCTAATCAGAAGGGCGACACAACGAGCAGGCACTGAACGACCCAAATATTTTTTTTAGAAGAATAAACATTTACATGATCGAGGAATAAATTAATTTGGCTTTAAAATCAGAATAAACCACCCACTTACTTCAAAATTAAGTTTCATTCCGAATAATCATTTTAGGAATGAAGTGTTTACATGGTCTTTTTAAAGCGGGATTCATTTTTATGTAGAATTAAAGTATTTTTATTCGGAATTAAAGCTAAACGTGGCAAATGTATGTTTTTCTAAGTATTTTTGAGCTATAAACCATCTGTAATTGAATAAATATAAGATAGAACTGTTTAATGTTTTACTGTGGAACATTCCAGGAAGAGCAATGGCATAAAAACAGAAACAAACAGGTGAAGAATCCCCAGCCAAAAAGTTACATAGTGCACCTTTCAATTTTCATACTTTTCCTCATTTCAAGAAACTGTCTGGTCTGTTGTTTTCTCATATGACGACTAGTTTGACGTAAGCCCATATTCTTATCAGATTTGTTTTCTACACTGCCTCGCTGGGCTCGTGTGTCATTCCCAGTTTGCAATGAAGCAGTGAAGCTCAAGAGTAGGCCTGCTACAAAAACAGATTCTGAAGCACGATATACTGCTCCAGAGAGATGCTGCGATAAACAATAACATAGAAACTACTAAGATAACGTCAGTAAAACTATTTAAATAGGCAGTATCATTAAAAAGCCTGAGCTGTAATAAATAAATGACAAAATGAACAACTATTTTAATTTATTCAGCGGTCTACAGTTCAAATCTTAATGGATTATGACAAAAATGCACCAAATCTCCTATTTTTTACAAAGACACTGTACACATGACATACAATATTGATAAAAAAAAAAAAAAAGGCAGATGCTATTTGCACCCAGGGTGTAAATATCTAACATTGTTCTTCACACACAGGGTGTATTTTGCGTGGCACATAGAAGGGCACCCGGGTGTTCCTAGACAAAAATGCTATTTACATTCAGGTTACTTATTAAAAAAACAAAACAAAACAAAAAATCTCACTGTCAGTACAAACATAAAGGCACCAGTCCATTGAAAATCAGTAATATATATATTATTTTTTTACTCAAAATGATGCGGAATCATCGATCAGTCAATCACAGTCTGCGCCTAATGGTTTAGTCCTGGTTTAGACTTGGTTTTAGTACTGATTTTAGTAGTGATTTAGCCCTGGTTTAGTCCTGGTTTAATCCTGATTTAGTTCTGATTTAGTTCTGATTTAGTTCTGGTTTAGTCCTGGTTTAGCCCTGGTTTAGTCCTGGTTTAGTCCTGGTTTTCCTGTTTAGTTCTGATTTAGTTCTGATTTAGTTCTGGTTTAGTCCTGGTTTAGTAGTCTGGTTTTAGTCCTGGTTTAGTCCTGGTTTAGTTCTGGTTTAGTCCTGGTTTAGTTCTGGTTTAGTTCTGATTTAGTTCTGGTTTAGTCCTGGTTTAGTCCTGTTTTAGTCTGGTTTAGTCTGGTTTAGTTCTGGTTTAGTCCTGGTTTAGTCTGGTTTTAGTCTGGTTTTAGTTCTGGTTTTGTCTGGTTTAGTCCTGGTTTTAGTCCTGGTTTTAGTCCTGGTTTAGTTCTGGTTTAGTTCTGGTTTAGTTCTGGTTTAGTCTGATTTAGTCCTGTTTAGTCCTGGTTTTAGTCCTGGTTTAGTTCTGGTTTAGTCCTGGTTTAGCCCTGGTTTTAGTCCTGGTCTTAGTCCTGGTTTAGTTGGTTTAGTTCTGGTTTAGTTCTGGTTTAGTTCTGGTTTAGTCCTGGTTTAGTCCTGGTTTTAGTCCTGGTTTTCTGGTTTAGTTCTGGTTTAGTCTGGTTTAGTAGTCCTGGTTTTAGTCCTGGTTTAGTTCTGGTTTTTCTGGTTTAGTCCTGGTTTTAGTCCTGGTTTAGTCTGGTTTAGTTCTGATTTAGTCCTGGTTTAGTCCTGGTTTTTCTGGTTTAGTTCTGGTTTTAGTCTGGTTTAGTCTGGTTTAGTCCTGTTTAGTTCTGGTTTAGTTCTGGTTTAGTTGATTTAGTCTGGTTTAAGTCCTGGTTTTAGTCCTGGTTTAGTTCTGGTTTAGTCTGGTTTCCTGGTTTAGTCCTGGTTTTAGTCCTGGTTTTAGTCTGGTTTAGTTCTGGTTTAGTCCTGGTTTTAGTCCTGGTTTAGTCCTGGTTTAGTCTGGTTTAGTTCTGGTTTAGTTCTGATTTAGTTCTGATTTAGTTCTGGTTTAGTCCTGGTTTAGTCCTGGTTTTAGTCTGGTTTAGTCCTGTTTAGTTCTGGTTTAGTTCCTGGTTTAGTCCTGGTTTTAGTCTGGTTTTAGTCTGGTTTAGTCCTGGTTTTTCCTGGTTCCTGGTTTAGTCCTGGTTTTAGTCCTGTTTAGTTCTGGTTTAGTTCTGGTTAGTTCTGATTTAGTCCTGGTTTAGTCCTGGTTTTAGTCCTGGTTTAGTTCTGGTTTAGTTCTGGTTTAGTCCTGGTTTAGCCCTGGTTTTAGTCCTGGTTTAGTCCTGGTTTAGTTCTGGTTTAGTTCTGGTTTAGTTCTGATTTAGTTCTGATTTAGTTCTGGTTTAGTCCTGGTTTAGTCCTGGTTTTAGTCCTGGTTTAGTTCTGGTTTAGTTCTGGTTTAGTCCTGGTTTAGTCCTGGTTTTAGTCCTGGTTTTAGTCCTGGTTTAGTTCTGGTTTAGTCTTGGTTTAGTCCTGGTTTTAGTCCTGGTTTTAGTCCTGGTTTAGTCCTGGTTTTAGTCCTGGTTTTAGTCCTGGTCCTCCCCACACTTTTCATAGGAAACGACATAAGCAGACACGTCACCATTCCCTTTTTTCTGGAGATGGGTGTAAATAGAAGAATCGTGTCCATTGAACTATTAACACCCAGGGTGCAAATAGACACTCCGAATAAATATAATACTGAGCCCCGGCTACTCGAGAAGTGGGTACAATTGATTTCGAAAAGGGCTGGATATCATTAAGAAGTTGCCAATACAATACATACCATGAAACACAGGCCACAATACAATCTCGAATACAGTGCACTTTCGATTCGATACGATATATTTCAAATCGCACTGGTAAGGTTCAATAAAAAATAAAGGCTAAATCATGTCTGTGACACTAAAAGTCTTTGTTAAACCACTTCTTGTGCAAAGTTCATATGAAACACAAACATTTTAATCATCAAAACAGTGAAAATGTCAAATGTGTCGCATAAAAAGTTTCCTTCCTCGCAACAAGCAGCGAAACTGTAACAAAATAATTTAGTAAAACATACCAACAAATACTCTTGGTGATGTATCAATACAGCAGTCCATGATTTCGATACCGTATCATCACATTAAACGATACGATACATTCATAGGTCAATATTTTTGCACAACCCTAATTTCGAATGACTCAAATCAAGATTAATATCGTGAATTCAAGTCATTTACACTCAAAATGTCTCCTAGTCCTACAGAACAGGTCAGAGCTCACAGGACGGTCAGAGGAGCAGTGCTTTTGACCTGCACAGGGCTGGACACTGACTTTCACTGGCTGGACACTGGCTCATTTAGATTGTTACGTTTACGTGGAGGCGACAACACACAACAGAGAATATGAAAGAAGGCTCTGTACAACCAAAGACAGTGAAATATTTGTGAAAATAGGCCTAAAGCTAATATGTGCTCTAAACAACAGGCAAGAGAATGAAGCACTATGGTCACATACATAGTAATAGAATTTGAAGTCATAATTTCACATGGAGGGCAGGGGCCTATATAAGTGTATGGGAGATGTACTGTTTTTGAATGAAATAACCAAACTGAAGATCTACAAATATTGAGTCCAATCGCCACACATTTGTTTGAAATTGGCTCCTCAAATTTCCATATTAACTGTATGACTTAATGTTCTTTTAATTGACAACAACCAACATCTTGACTCTCATAAACAGAATATTGATGTTATAGTAACCCCAGTATTATTTTCTAAAGCAACATTTTTTTTATTTGATGTGTCTTGGTTCAATACACATACGTATATCAGCTCAAAATAAGTCTGTGTATGTCTGTATAAAATTAAAAAGCGTTTAACTGTCTGATAAATCAGGAAGTGCCGTTAGATTTACCATCAGTACTTCTAAATCCATAGCGGTGAAAAATGAGGAATATCTTTGGACTAGGGCTGGGAATCATTAAGAAGGTGCCGATATGATACATAACTCGATACACAGGCCATGAAACGATACATGTCTCGATACAGTGAGCTTTCAATTCGATATGATTTGATACAATATATTTCAAATCGATTCAATATGGTTGAATAAAAAAAACTAAATCATGGCTGTGATAATAAAAGTCTTTGTTAAACCACTTCTTGTGCAAAGTTCATATGAAATACAAACATTTTAATCAACAAAACAGTGAAAATGTCAATTGTGTCACTTAAAAAAGTTTCCTTCCTCAGAACAAGTAGCAAAACTGTAGCTCTGTAACAAAAAAATTTTGTAAAATGTAACAAAAAATACTCTTGGCGATATATCGATACAGCAGCCCATGATATCGATACAACAATACAATATATGGATATTTCAATATTTTTGCACACCCCTACTTTGGACCACTGCAAACATCATACCAAAGTCTTCATTTATTAAGTATCCAACAAAAGCTGTCAAACAGAAAAGTGAGTTTGTCTGGAAAGGGGTGACCGATTTCAGAATTCTCCAATTAATGTGTGACAAAAACAGAAAATAATGGCGCCCATAGGAGTGTGGCACAAAGAGCAGGTTTAAACGTCTCACCTCTGAACTTCTTTGGAGGATTGTTGAGGTCTCCTGCATCAGGCTGCACCACACAGCGATCGTCCACCAGGCTGAGGAGACACACACAAACCAAACATTTACAGGAGATCAAAAGAGGAACAAAACATCACTGTTATTTTGATAGGAGCTGAAATCATAAATATTTCACCAACTCTATAACTTTTCTGGTGCAGAGTAAATGCTTTTACATTATAATCGAGTTTCAGCTGACGTCATTGTTATTAAAAGCCCGCGTTGCATGCTGGGAAATATTTTGGTCGGAGGCAAGAAACACGATAGCGGTCAAACACAGTGCGTAACCTCCGATAATGGTAAATTCCTGCTGCATTATCGGATGCACAAACAGAAGCACGGAAGAAGGAAAATGTCTTTTTCGTATTCAGAGTGAAAAGAACTGCTAACGTTGAATTAAATGGCTTTCAAACATTCGCAGAGCAAACGTAGAAGATCTTAGCAAACCGTGGACTCCAACAAGTTCAACAACACATCGAGACTCTTGGAGGCTTTCATCTTTTCTGCTGTGAATGGCCCAGGAGTTTCCACCAAGTCATTGTGGATATCGCCGAAGTGAATATTTGGCCAGGTAGTTGGCGATTCAGACCAGAAATCTGGTTTGGTCCAGGCTCTGTAGGGGTTGAAAAGGGTGATTTGGCGTCCATCGATGCTTATGACCAATTTCTGGTCAAATCGTCTTCAGTCCTCTGCTGTTAGAGTGGATAAATAACTGGGATCGATACCCTTTACGTGCTTTCTCGCTCCGTCCGTCATGTTAAATTAGTTTTTCTTTCCGCCGACCAAAATAATTCCCAGCATGCAACACGCGCTTTTGGCAACAATGAAACTCGCCTATTGCTTCATCTTGAATGTTTCACAGTGTGGTATTAAACCTTTCTATCTTCAGAGAAAGATAGAAAGAGACTAAACCAGACCAAGTTACAGGTCAGATCTGCGGAGAGGCAATCCCGCTCACAGTCAGAACGTCTATTTTTCTAGGTATTTTCGAGCTATAAAACCACCTGTAATTGAATAAATGCACCGTATTTTTCGGACTATAAGGCACACTTAAAATCCTTTAATTTTCTCAAAAATCAACACTGTGCCTTATCTGTTAATTCAGGTTGTGTTTACTGACCTCGAACCAATTTTTTGTGGTACACAGTGCTCAAAAATCTGTCATAATGTTTTAGTACGACTTCTGTAAACTATGAAGGCACACTGGGTGAAAGGTTGTCAAAGCATTACGGCAACTGTAGTCAGGAGCCTCACGAAGTTAGTTGTCCTTTAGTCCAACAGAAGCTCAACCGCATCAGTGCACAAGGAGCTTTAGCCATGTGGTTTTAAGTTTTGTTTCTGTAAAACATAAACACATGTACTCAAAGCTGCATTAAACACATTATTACTCAATATATACTTGAGTCGTCCTCATAGGAATTAAAAAAAACAAACTTAAATTCTCCACCCACATTCATAATCCACATTCACCAAGACAGGGAGGCAACGCCAGGCGAATTACGCCACGATCTGCCAATGGATCATGGACGCCTGGGCTAAGGATCAGTCTCAAGTGTCGTCTGTTTGTTTCAGTTAACGCGCCTTATAATCCGGTGCAATTTATGTATGAAAATAGATGAGAGAATTCAACATTACTGATATTGTGCCTTATAATCAGGTGCACCTTGTAGTCCAAAAAATACGGTAAGTTAGAGCTGTTTAATGTCATACTGCGGAACATTCCAGACAGAGCCATATCCATAGAAAAAAAGGAGGAGATGGACCCCCAAACCAAAAGTGACACAGTGCACCTATAAATTTAAGAGCACAAACAAAACGATGAAATGAAAGTAAAATGTGTAGTTTCGTAAAGGACATACTGTACGCCTTTGGGTGGTGTTCATGTTTTCCTAATTCTGACTTGGTTTGTACCTGTAGTAAATATTCATCATAATTTTTCATGAGTTCATTGACAGTTTGTGGAATTAACAAAATGAAGGTGTTGACATCGATTTTATTAGTCTAATAAAACTGTTGTGTAATTTAGTGTTTGGCCCTTGTTAACGTTACAGTTGCTAGGAAACAGAACTGGAATTACCTCTGCACATGTCACATCTGCTGAACATCACGAGAATAAAAACAAAAATAAAAACAGGCATTTGATACCTTGCAACTGATGTCATCACCATTCCCTGAGGGTGTGATGCTAACTGTAGACACTGCTCTGTCAGAAGCTCAGTTACACTTGTAGATCTTAAACTGAGAGCTGATTCTGTTCCTCTCAAAGAACATTACAGTCATTTTTACGATTTTGTGAAACCTCTGCTATGTATAATTATATCATCTTTGTTTTATTGAGTAGACAAACCAGTCGTATGCACATTAAGTTGCTTTCAATGATGACTTAAAAAAAGAAATGGCAAAAATGTACAAAACAACCACAAAGAGCAGCTGGATTTTCAAACTTACAAACTTAACCCTGCAGCGTGAGAATAACAGAGAAAGACCGGAGACTAGAGCTGTCAAAAGTATAGAGAATAAGATACTGAAACTGATATCGAAACTCAATACTCATATGAGCAGGTAACGATAATGAAAAAGTCCCACTGACAGTAATGGACAGAAATGAAGCTTTCCTGAATAGTTTTAGAATGATCCACTGAGGGATTACACAGATATAAGACCACATGGCAATACAAAAGAAAGTCCTACCATTTAATGATGAAAATCACATTAAAGTGTCTAAAGAAAGAATGTTTTTTATTATGACTGTGGTATCGGAATTGGTATTGAGTATCAAGTCTATTCTTTAGTGTTGAAATTGAGTTAGACATTGTAGTTCAAAATTGTAGTATCATGGGGGGTGAGTGCGTATGGGAGGAGGCGCGGTGGGCGGTCAGGCAGCATGGTTAAGTCCTAGCTAAATCCTGTTTTAGACCTGGTTTAGTTCTGGTTTAGTGGCGCAGCCCACGCGAGGGGGGGTGGTCTGCATGACGTACGGGATGGGGGACGGTCGGTGTGACTTCCCGGGGGGAAGGGATTCTGCATGATGTGACGTATGTGGGGGGGCCCATACGCCACGCGGACCTTCCCCTGTCCTGTACGCTGCAAGGACCGTCCCCCTCGGCAGTCGGATGGTCCACACGGTGTATGGGAGCAGGGGTTCGCACTTTTGCAGCCACGGCCTGGTACTGGTCCCTGGCCTGGGGGATGGGGACCCCTGATCTAAGTGATATGGCAAAAAATAAAATAAAATAATATATATAAATATATAATATATATATATATATATATATATATATATATATATATATATATATATATATATATATATATTTATATACAGTTAAGTTGGACCTATATTTTTTAAGTTGTGCTGAATCACTTTTTAAATCCCTAAGACTGCGCATGTCTCCTGCACAAAGAGTCTCTATTCTGTCTGTATCATGTCAGTGTCTTGCAGGGTTTCAGCAGATTTCAGGCTCTTCGTAGACATCTCCATAGAAACAAGCGGGTGATGGTTACATAGTGCAGCTTTAAAAAGACCTAAGACTGAATCTTAATTAAAATCACATTAAATACACAGCTCTATCACATCTCCCCCTTTCAGTACTTCAGGGGGTTAACGGCTGCGAGTGTGACCCAGACAGGAGCATCTGAAGCGGGGTGTGGAGGAGAGAGGGGCCGGGGTGAGACGTCTGCACAGTGTTAGTGTAGAACCAAGAGCATTACTGGAATAGCAAAGGAGGAAATGCACAATTCATTCATAAGTAAAACTGTTGTGGCATTTATAGAGATGGAGTAGGTTTGATTTTTTTTTCTTCTCATTGTGCAACTGTGGAACTGAGCTTTCCCAAAATAGCTCTACTCTCTTTTGTTTACATTTTTGACTATCTGAGGAGAACTAAAAATTGTCCTATTGGTTTTTCATGTCAAATATTTTAAGAACAGCACAACGTTTGGGAAAAAAATGCAGGTTTTCTCTCAAATCTTAAAGCTGCATTATATAACTTTTTGCTTGGGGGTCCATCACCTGCTGGTTTCTATGGATACTTCACTGCTCTGCCTGAAATGTTCCACAGTATGACATTTAAACTGTTTTATAGCTCAAAAATATCTAGAAAAACAAACATTGTGACTGTGAGCGGGGTCGCCTCTCCACGGATCTGACCTGTAACTTGGTCTGGTCTCCATGAAAATAGAAAGGTTTAATGCCATAATGTGAAACATTCCAGACAAAGCAACAACATCTCCACAGAGAAAAGCATTTGACAGATGCTCCACCAGAAAAGTTACGCAATGCAGCTTTAATGCTCCTGTTGGGAATTTTACCAATTTAACAATTTAATACTCAAAAAGATGTATTTTGTTTTTGGTACACTGCGGTGGTCCAGCACCTGCTCGTCTCCAAGGAAATGTTATTGCTTTGATTAGAATGTTCCACAGTATAGATATCATGATGAAGACAGTCAGATCTGTGGAGAGGCGTCCCTATTCACAGATGTTGTATTTTTGATAAACACTTGTAATGAAGAAATGTTAAATGGAAATGTTTAATGTCACACTATGGAACATTCCAGGCAAAGCAATAACATTTCCATGGAGGCAAGCGGGTAGTGGACCCTCCCTTAGAAAAGTTGCGTGGTGCACCTTTAATTGCTATGGCAACAGTGGTAATTTGTAGTAGTAGTATTAGTAGTAGTATTAGTATAAGTGGCCTCACATATGAATGTCATGATCGCCCACTATTATTAATGTAATCTACTCATCTCTTCTCTCTCTCTCTTTCTCCCTCTTTCCTTCTCTCTCCTATCTCCCTTTTCTCTTTCTCTCCCCTATCTTTCTCTCTCTCCTTCTCTCACTCCTTCTCTCTCTCTCTCTACTATCTCCCGTTCTCTCTCCTATCGGCCTCTGTCTCTCTCTCTCTCTCTCTCTCTCGTATCTCCCTTACTCTCTCTCCTTCTCTCTCCTATCTCTCTTCCTCTCACTCCTTCTCTCCCCTATCTCCCTCTCTCTTTCTCTCTCCTATCTCTCTCTCTTTCTCTCTGTCTCTCACTCC